AGGCACATTTCTCGATATAGTTAGGATTGTGCACGATTACGATTGTGCACGACCTTCTGCTGTCCTAATTCTTTGAGCTCTATTTCTTGTATTGACTTGTTCTAGCAACTGATGAGCTTCTTTCGTCTGCGTCGTGCCACTCTGCTGCTTACGTTGTTGAGATTCGATCTTTTCGGTGGCATTTTACTGAAAATAAAATCTTACCTTCTTAATGTATTTAAAATGAGAATTTAGAGACACGCCACTTATAAACGCAAAACAATAAATATGAATGACAAATGACAATAATAGAAACAACAATCTGACGAAATGCGATTTATTGAAATAATTTCTTACAAAATATGTAATACGTGAAGAACCGCTCGACCAATTTTGTGCAAACTCATCAACAAAATAGCCCGAGCAAAGCATAAAGATTTGGTTATAATAATAATAAGCACACTAAATTTCATGAGAATCGGTAAAGCCGTTTCGGAGGAGTGCATAAAAAAAGAAGATTCCTCCTTGTTCTGCCGAAACTGCCATGATGTAAAAGATCTAAGCTATCCTATCTCTCAAGTTGAACCAAACTGCATATTGCCTGCAAATTTGAACGAAATCTGTTAAGCGGTTTAGGAGTCTATAGCGAACAAACATAGTGACAGGAGATTTTTATATATTAAGATAAATTTTTTTCTTTTTGACTAAACTTAAATATGTAAGGATTATCGCTGGCTACTAAGCTGTCTTAAAAATGTTATGTTCGGAAGACCTTTTTATTTAATATAAATCTAAATTTATATTATATATAAAAATATTAATATTAGGATGAATATTTTCTAATACTGTCTTCCCACACAGCGCATTTGTGAGGAACGTTTGGGATTTTTCACAAATGTGAAACTCGTGTTCCCACACAACATTAAAGCGCATTTAGCATCCGAACAGCTGATCGATTAGCTGTGGCTCATGAAAACGTAAACAAAGGCTGTCGAATTGGCAGTTGCAAATTTGAAATGGAGCATTTACCAACTATTTTGGCTGTTGTAGAACAGCAAAAGGCACAGATTGCGTCAGAATTTATCCGCAATAAATTTAAATGAATTAAATGACAAGGAATTTTAGTTTTTCTAATGATTTTTCTCTAACAAAGAGCAAATTCCCCGAAGTGTGTCTATAGGTGGTATACGCATCCAAAATCTTTAATATAAGGTAGAGGTAGGCGGTTTATATTAAATAGCAACAATTGGGGACGTATTGGAGCAAGAATATACAGAAAAAACGCCAACAACTATTTTGGGCATGCTTGTAGCTTTGGCGCCACGTTTTAAATTCCATATCTCATTTGTTCCTCGCCAAATTGTTTACATTTTCGTGGTGAATGGTCAAATTAAGAAGAAGAATCAGAGTTGCACCGAATCACCGAGCCAGGGCGGTGATTTCCTTTTTGATGCGATCGGCGAAGCCCGGGCACATGGTGGTGCCGCCAGACAACACGATGTTGGCGAACAGATGCTTGCGGATGTTCATATTGCACTTCATGATTGAGTTGTAAATAAATTGGAATGGATTTAAAAACATTCTCTAGGTCATGCTATTATTTTCTTTTTCGTCCTAGCGCTTCAACATTTCTACTTTACGCTAGTTACAAAAAATTTCATTTAAAAAAAATTGTTTTCCTATTAACTAATTTGTTTTTCTTTTTTTATTTAAGTAGTATTAATTGTATTATTTTATTTAGTTGAACTTCTTTAAGTAAATAACAGTGAATCTAAAGTAAATACTGTCCCCGAATTATCCGTTTCATTGAAGTGCTCTTTGATAAACCACATTTTTTGTTGTTTGGTCTGACGTGAATACAAACGTTCGACTTATACACTTGCACTAGAATCTGCGGAATTCTTTTTGTTTTGTGTGTTTACCAAGTTTACTGAATCAAAATGAGATTGACCAACGTTTTACTGAAAAAAAGTGAAGAGCAAGCGCATCATGGTTGTGCTTGAAAGTGCGGTCAGCGGACATCAGTTTAATGCCTTTCGTGATCGTTTGGCCGAAAAATTGGAGATAATACGCTTCGATCCCTACATTCAGAAAGAGAGCCTCTACCGCGAACGCAACAAAATCCGCAGAGCCTAAGGGAGAACACCTAATGTACTTCCCTTCTCTTTTTCCCAATTCGTGTAGTTAGTCCAAATAAAGTAAAACAAGTTGTTAACCGAAAAAAAAGCGGATGGCTTCCCAACTCGTGAACACGCAACGTATAACTGCCCATGTGATAAACAATGATTTTCTAAATTTTGTGACGCGCAGACGCGCACAAAGATATATACAAAATAAGGATGATAATGGATTATACAATAGAAAACTATGAATATGGAATATGGAATAGATTTGTCGACCCGAGTGGGAAGGATGAACCTGACCCTGAAGTGCGGCGTTCCAGAGCGGCTACTGGCAGCAGCAGACTACGCACAATCTTTCGAAACCGTTGCAATATTCGAGACAATAAACATATAATTATAGTTACGGCATATTTCTCGGCGTTCTACTCTGGGACCGGGTCGCCATCTCTTTCAGCAACCACCTCAGACAACAAATAAATTTCTGAGACGAACCCTGGCCATCCTTGAGCCACCGGAATGACCAAACCGTCACAATTTGTCATTTAATTTTATTTCATTTATTTATTTTATTTTAATTATTTTATTTTATATAACTTCACATATGTCGTCTTTGTATTTGTTCCTTAACTGAATTGATTGTGAAGGAAAGCATGTGATGATAATTGCGAATAGCGTTTGATTTGGTACGTATTTGATGAAACAATTGAATCCGCAAGTGCTAAGTCCCAATGAGAATCGTTCTCCAGCAAACCCAATAGTTGACATGCTTCTCGATATGATGGGCATTGATGGGCATTCACAGTTTTCAAATGCGCAGATGATTTTGGTTCCCGTACATTTACCAACAGCAGTCGTGAATAAAATCATTCATCATTTATAGGATGAACAGAAGAGCCTGAGGAGTTGGCCACATGGAATTCCTAATAAGATAAGGGAGGGAATTATGAGATATGTTTGGGTTTTATGGTTAAATATAGAATTCAATTTGTCCTACAAAATAAAGAGTAAATTATTAAGGTAAATATTCAAAGTTAAAAAGGTTAATAAGGTTAATCTATGCTAGTTTTTTTTTTTAAATAGGTAGAAAGAATGTCGTTTTTATTAGTAACATATTTAAATAAAAAAAAAAAATATATCCACAGGATCGTCAATGATTACATATCATTGAATTGATAATTTGTTTAAGAAGTAATTAAATCAAGTCCCCGTGAATGAAGTCCTTGTGACTTTCACTAGAAGTATTTAAATCAATCCGCGTGATCATTGGAAGTATTTAAATCAAGTCCTCGTGACTTTCACTAGATGTAATTAAATCAAGCCCTCGTGACTTTCACTAGAAGAAATAAAATCAAGTCACACTGGAAACTAGTATTTAATGTAAGACAACGCCACCTATAGGCGCAAGGAAACTCAGCGCCACCTTTGAGTCGGTGTCTGAGACTGAACAGTGCTGCCCATGTTTTCGTTCATGAAAATATTCGATTATATTCGATTTTTATTCGATTATAAAAATCGAGTGCGTGACATTAAAATCGTCACTGGAATCGATTTTCGATTTTTCTCGCTCTAACTTCGAATATTTGCTCGCCATTTTTTCATTCTCATTCAAATTCATGCAAAAATTTGAATTTGAATTTGAATTTTCCGTTTTGGTCTTGATTTAAGCAAATTGAAATGAATGAATTTGAATATTGTCTTAATTCAACGAATTTGCATTAAATATACATTAAAAATATTTTACAAAATTTAGTTTTACATAAATTGAATTAGTCAGTAAAAATATTTATAGTTGTTGCATAAATATATTAAATATTTAATTTAATACATATGGCTTTTATTTTGCTTTTGTTTTGCTCTTCTCATTCTCATTCAAAACAAACGTTAATTTTATACATCTTGTACAAAAATTATTGACCTTTTTTATTTACATAAAAATATTTAAATTAAAATAAAATGAATTTGAATAGTTTATACATTTCGTATACAAATTAGTAAGCTATTTTACATAATTACATATTATATACATTTTTTTATTATTTGTCGAGATCACGTACACTGCTATTTTTCAAGGCCGAAAAGAGCTTGACTGAAAGAAAATTAAAAATATTTATAGTTGTTGCATAAATATATTAAGTATTTAGTTTAATACCTGGTCCTGGTCCTGCTGTTTTCATGCCGTGGTCCAAACCTTTCAACTGGCATGTGTTATCAAAAAGGCTTTTTTATTCTTCATAAGATTGTGGCAGACGGAACAACGGCCGTGTTTATAAGTTCTCGCCCCTACATAAAATATATTGAATAAAAAAAAATTTTGTTAAACAAGTGCAGTACTTACTTCCTCCCTCGCCTTCTTCGCGCTTAAACAGTTTATGATAAACTGGGTTGATCTTATTAGAGCATATAGGAGGCGGGGAAGCAGGACTTTGAATTGGAGGAGCTGCCCAGTCGGACTTTTCGGGAGGACGCGAACAGGGTAGGATGAAATTCTTGTGAAAATGGGAGGGCTTTTTTCGAACGAAAATTCCGTTTGGGAATTTTTATTTTTAATGCGAGAGAGAGAGAGAGATGAAGGGATACATATATTTTTGCTCTTTCCTTGAAACTGTATGTATTCGCGTTTCCGACATTAGCTTTTGATTTGACTCAGTGGCCCAGTTGGTAAGCGGACGGTCTGTGATTTCTGAGACATGGGTTCAAATCCCGACCGGGAACTAAGAAAAGTAAGTTTAAGTGGCTTTTAATAAGATTTATACATTAATATAAGTAATTTAATAACCATGTCGTACAATCACTGCTACAACATTGGCTATTTCCCTAACAGTTTTTTATTTTTGGTCGGACGTTTACCTTGGTAGTTTAGGCAACAAAAATGGAACTGATCTGTCATCATTGCACATTGGACAAGCAGACTGGCAGTGTCCACAACGGTGGTGAGTGTTGTCTAGCTTTCGCCCGACTTTTATTGGTAATATATAAAAACTAATTTCCAAATAAAACGCAGTTACGATGACAAAGACCAGATCCTCGGAAGACTTGACAACGAATGAGCTGGGACAAAGCACCATTTCGAGGAGATCAAGCGATCCGAACCTCACAGTTGAATCCATGTAAGTGTCATCTTTATTGACCCTCAGAAAATATATTTCATAATTATTTATAAATAATTGCAGTGTCACAGATTGAACAATAGCAACTCCATGTTCGACATTCGATCCGAGCAGACGGACAATAGATTTTTGTGCAAATGTCGAGGATAGCAATGCAAAAGACTCCAAAGAACGTGGTGTAGATGTTACGGATACGCCCGAAACAGGTCAAGCTGGCCCAGCAGATAATAGCATTCGACAGTTCTATAGCGACCAAAGTATACCAGAGGCCCCTTCTGCCCGTGATAAATTGGATAAGGAAGCAGCGCAGCAACCGATCCCTCCTGGATCTGACCGATCCACAGTCCACACAGCCTTAGGTAAGCTAAAACTACCAACTCCTTGCTCAAATATCACATTTATGGACCAATTTTACTGCTTACAGATCGGCAGCCAGCTCCTCCAAAATCAGAAGGCTCTGACCATGCCCTGTTGTGGCATGGAACAGTTGAAACCAGCACCGATACCCTGTTTCTAACCGAAAATAATGGCGAGAACCATGCATGCACCGGACAACACTGATGACAGCGGCGATAAAAAACTGAAATCGGTGGATGGTGGCGGCGTCCAAAGCAGTAAAATCAGTCAAAGCTATAACAATTTGCCGCGGGTTCACATGAAGCCGACCGTCGCACGGCAGCGAGGCGGAGACCAGTTTCCACAATGTCTGTGTCCAGGCAGAATGCACACAACGCGGTCCGCTGTAAGCCAGAGAATTTAAGCAAGGATGCGAATGTAAATGGAAGCTCAGTGGTAGCTGATGAAAGTTTGTACATGTCGCCGGAGCTTCAGAGATTCGTTGGCCATTCCTCACCATTCGATGTACCTTCGGTGGTGGGCGGTGGGGGTACTTTCGGGTCAAGTTATAGTCGCGACCTGGGTCGCCTGAAATTCACGGCAGGTAAGATATACATATAAATATACATATACATGTAGAAATATATAAATATTCAAAAATTTAAATGTTAAAATATTCAAATATTTCATTCTAATATTATTTCCAATATTAAAATATAAAAAAAATACAAATTAAACAAAAATATATATATTTATAAATGTTTAGGAGTGGGGTGGCTGCTCAATCCTCCGCAAAAGGATCAATAAAAGGTTATCCCACGAAGTAGAAAAAACGCAGAAAATTCGGGGGTCGAAAAGTGACAACGGCGGAGTGCCCGTAGCATACATATATTTTCGCATTCGATTCGGTACTAAACTTGAGCTTAGCCTAATGCCCGCTGCCGACCGAGAAGCCCAGCTTAACGGCGCGAGAGCGGGAGAACCGGGAATTGGAGCGGAGCAGCCGTCCCTAGAAGCGAGCGACGATCGGGAACACGGGAGCGTGCGATCGGGAATACCGAGGAGCGGAGAGCGGGCGAGCGTTGCTAAGCTGGAAGCGCTTGAGCTTTTGGACGCTCGGTGGGCAGAGGGGGAGCAGGGGCCTCCTGGCGTAAACATTCTCCCCCCCCTTGCAATCACTCGGGTTGCAATAAACCCGTACAGGACGATGGTATGGAGGGGCGTCAGAGCGCCGCGTAGATCGTTGATGCTGGAGCGACGAGGAGCGATGAAGGACGGATGAGTGCCAAGGAGAGGCAGATGATTGCCATGGAGAGGCGGGAGCTTGTCGCAAGGAGCTTGCTGAACAAGGCGGAGGCGTCGAAGGCCGTGACCAGGATCATAGCGCATCACTGTGCGCTAGAAGACGTCGGACTTTCCGTAGCGGATGAACGTTGACAGACTCGGCTACGGTAGGTAAGTACCTCGGGTACGTCTGCTTTCCAGAGCGATCGCGGTGTATGGAAATGAAGCCCTCGTATGTGATCTGGATGAAAGAAGATGACAGGAGATGAGTGATGGTCAAGTAAATGCGAACTAGAAGTATGGGGGTGACCGATGCTGCGAGCGGAGTGGATGCTCTGGACGGTCATGCGGATGCAGGAGAGTGTGGTGGTGCTGATTGCACGTCTTGCATCGGTCACCGCTGCGGCAGGTTCCCTCGGAATGTTCGTGGGCCAAACAGTTGGAACAATAACGGTGGTCGAGAACCGCTCGGAGCCTCTTCTCAGCGCAGAGTTTGAGGAACTGTTGGCATTTCCGGAGCGGATGGTTCCCTTGGCAGACTCGGCATTGGTAGGATAAAATACCTCGGGAACGTCTGCTCTTGCTGTCTTCGTACGGAACCCAGTACTTGGAGGAATCGGCAGAAGTGGTCACTCGTGTGGAGAACGAGGAAATTCTTTGGGTGGGTGCAGGTCGAGGACTAGATGGAGCGGAGGGTCTTGGAACATTAGTAGTAGGATTGTCGCGGTGCAGCAGAGTGTGATGCCGGCTGTGACACGTAAAGCAGGAATGGGCACTAGTACAGTCCCGTTGCTGGTGCCCTCGCGAAAAACAATTCAAGCAGAGTTGCTTTCTTCGGATGAAGTCTGTCCGCTCATTGACATTCATGTCTAGGAAAAGCGGACATATACGGATAGGGTGGTCTTCTCTGGAACATAGATTACACCTTCTAGGTGTTGGAGCCACCCTAGCTTCGTATGAATTGAGCCTGCGCACCGGGGGATTGGAATTTGCTCACCTTGGCGGAAAATGCCCAGAGCCGCTAGGCCTGACGTCGTCGATGGCGTCCAAAGTGCGATGGCGCTCGGTCAGAAACGCGTCCAACTCACGCCAGGTTGGAATTTCGGCCTTATTGTGAATTGATTGCTCCCACAAGGAAAGCGTAATCTTGGGAAGCTTCGAGGAGACCATATACACAAGAAGGCAGTCCCACGCCTCGACTTCAATGGAGGACATTTGTAACGCGGTCAAACAGCTTTGAATTGTGCCTTGGAGCTCTTTTAGAGCGACTCCGGATTCTTGAGGAACAGCCTGGATGTTAAAAAGAATCTTTAACTGACTGTTGACTAACAAGCGCTTATTTTCGAAGCGGTCGGAAAGGCTGCTCCATGCTGAGACGAAACCCTCGTTGGTCAGAGGGGCCTTTGAAACGATGGCATGAGCATCGCCGCTTGTCTTCGAAAGTAGGTGGAATAACCTCTCCACAGGCGTAAGTCGGGAATTATTAATGTAAATCGCCGTGAAGAGGTCCCGGAAGGTGGGCCACCGAAGATAATCGCCTGTGAAGACCTCGGTGTCCACTGGTGGCAATCGACAACCCATGGACGGGGGTGTGGGCGCAGGGGCGGAAGCCTGAATGGACTGGGAGGCGGCCTTGTCGATAATTTCCTGCAGCTGTACAAGACATCTCGAATATACGGAGTAGCACTCACTGTACTTGGATTCAAGCTCAGTGGCAGTGGCTGTACTGTCGGAGGACACGGAAAGAAGATCGGAGCAGCTTTCATAGCTTTTCTCCACCTTGTCCCACAGGGCACGGATTTGGTCCCGATGGACTCTGCACATGGCAGGGGAAAATCTCTCCGTGTCAGGAGCGCTCGGAATGTGAATGTTAGCTTCGAATTGGCTAACACGGGCTGTCGTCGAAATGAACTTTCGCAGGGCGATGTCTAGGACATTTTGAGCCATTTTGGAAACCGACTGAGTGAGTCTTGGCGAAGGAACGGGACCAGAATCGACGGACTTGTCGCTTTTTGCCCTTGGGTTGGCAGTGGCTTTTTGTTGTTTCCCGTAGACAAACTCAATTTGGGACTCGGCGGATCAGCGGTTGTCGACTGACCTGAGCGAAGGATGCCTGATTCGAAGTGGAAAGCAGAGTCGGGAACCAGAACGTAGACCGTACTGTCCGTGATCGTGGTGGAGTAGGAAGCAGAGATGTCTATATTGGAAAATTAATTTATTAATTATAATCCGTGATAACAAAAATTATTAATGTCGGAAATAATTAATGTGAATTATTTAAGTATTTGCACGTAATTAATACGGAGCCGGAAAGGCGGAATTAAAAATAAACCTTGGCTTTGACTTGGGAAAAACTCACTGGGCTATACCGTCGGCAAAGCAGTGCATAAGTGAGGCTCAGGAGAGAGAACAAAAACGTAACCCAAAGAACCGCGACAAAAACAACACGTCTGCTGGGCGGTTGTGCAGATTTGGAGAAATAAACACTTGCACTTGAATATTTAATCTTGGTTATTTTGTTTGTTATTGTAATTTAATTGCTGTATGGACGGGCAGCGAATATAAATACATATGTATGTATGTAGTTTGATAAGCATGCAGAATATGTATGGATGAGTTGTCTTTATTTTGGACAGTGGAAACCCGATAACCGGACTGTGGTTGTAAGGGCGTACGAAAAGTATTGGAGGCAGAAAATATATTTTGTACAGTGGAAACCCGATAACTGGACTGGAGTTGTGAGGGCATACGAAAATATTGGAGGCCGAAAATATATTTTGTAACGCCCCAAATCTGGGACGCACATTCCATCATCATCGTCATCATCATTGCCCACTGCGTGCCGAGAGAGAGCTCGGAGTCACCCTCACTTTATTATTGTTGTTACTAGATTAAGTTCCTTATTATCATCATTATTACTAGGCTAAGTTCATTATCATTCTTGTTATTAGGTTAAGTTCATTATCATTCTTGTAAATATTAATAACTTCTCAGTATAAACTTACAAAACTAAACTAAGCGGCCAATAATTAATTAGTAGTGGAGAAACAAACCCCAGAAACGAGCTAGGTGGCAACCCCTGAACCTTACGTTAGTCAAGACGCGACCCACGCAGAGACCCCCTGAAGTTACTATCGCACTACCGGCGATCGATCGGCCACTCGATAAGCGACCCGGCCAATCGATAAGCGCGGCATGTCGTTGAAGTGCGAGCACTAAGTTTTTCACTCATCCTCTTCCGTTTCGAGAACTCGCCGAGACCAGACGTGTGCTCGACCGCCGCCTCCTTGTCACCGCGCACGTGCCCGTATAGGACGAGAAGAGATCTCAGCCCGAAAAACCCATCCGTGTTCCGTCGCATCGGAACCCCGCCAGATCGCGTACCGCGACCCGCGCCTGATCGCCGAACGTCGGCACCGCGAGTGTTTTGCCACGCGTGTTGCCCCTTCACCGCG